ATGTAATCTTCAGTCCTTAGCCTTGTCTATCCATTAACTGAGGTTCAGAGGGTTATCATTTTTTTCTGATGGCAAAAGCCATTCTGATTTCACAGGTTATCTGCGGCGTTATGTAGGTTCGTTGCATGTAACTTATTTCTTAATGGTTGCTCGTCTTATTGTTTGTCTTTGTTAAAGACTGTTTTGTCAGGATTCGTCGTGGTCGGCTGGCTTGATTGCATAATTTTTGACCTCTGCAAGATAAACTTTGTAATCTACTATTTTGCAGCAGGAAATCGGCATCGCGAAGTATACGAGTCAAGCGAAGATGCTGTTTCGGAAGCTAAACCGCGATTCGCCCAAAACATGTAGTCTCGAGAGCGGCGAATATATGTTTAAGTAAGTATGGGTATGCAGTACTCTAGGAAATATCGTGTCTAACACACCAATGGTTGCAGCTACCTGATTCAAAATGACGTTGTGTTCCTGTGTTTGTGCGAAAAGAAGTTTCCAGCCAAAAGTGCATTCCTATACATCGAAGAACTAGCGCACGAGTTTCTGTCCCAGTACGGCAACCGCGTCACTACCGTCACCAGACCATACCACTTCATAGAGTTCGGTAACTCGTTGTCGCTAGTCCGCTTTGTGAGTAATAATCAATTGCTTTTCATCGCTTCAGATTCTTTCATCCAGAACTTAAAGAAGAAGTATGCCGATCCACGAAAAAATTACCAACTTGCCAATGTACACAGCGAGCTGCAGAGTGTGCAGCGAATCATGGTACAAAACATCGAAGACGTCATTCACAGGGGCGAGGCGCTAACAAGTAAGTTGCAGTTGAAATATAATCATCCAGTCGTCGTTAGATCACTTATTGACTTTACAGGCCATTCCAGTAAATGTAGCTTTTTGCCACAGAAAATCCATATTGCCTCTAACCTAGATGAAAGCTATTTCGTTCATAATATTTCAAATTTCCGTCATTTGTGCAAGTGCATCAGCTAAAAAGTTTGGAATTTTTATCATCTCACAATCGATACTAAACCCAAGTTGCATGGCGCATTTTTAGACCCGTTTCGGCAGAAATTATTAGTACCATCTTTATTCAAGTTGCGGAAACAGAACAGTGTTCTTGCGTGCAGTTTTGTTTGTGAATATGTAATCGCCAGTTGTTACTTCGGTTTGTGGGTCATAAACTACAATTCAACGCACTGTAGATTGAAGGTGATACGATAATGCATCCTTGCATTTAACCGAATGTTTATGAAGAGATTTGAGAGACAGTTTTCAGTGACCAACTTAGATTTGATAGAACATTTAGCGAACACTGTTACGTGGAGAGGTACAATGGTTCACCATCGCAAAATTCATCTGGCTGCTTTTGTTATGTACATCTTAAAAGGTACTCTGAAAATGATGTTTTTCTTACTCTAAGTCATTGATGAGCCCTAAATGCCGCCTTGATATGATGAGGTGTATGCATATCGCAGTGATACTCAAGGCACTGGCGACCGGTACTTGAATATCAAGGTTTAATTCAGTTTTGACTGAAGAGTAAAGATCACGCAGGGAATTTTAGGCAGTATTACATCGTGATCTTCATCTTTCATCGCCACTTCTCCATTCGAGTCGCGTTGGCAGAAGCGTCAGACGGTGTCCAATGTTCCCGATCCTGTGCCAGAGTCTGAGCTTCGGCAGAAGACAACTGGAGTTTGGAACAGACTCCTTCCATATACTTGCACCAGGTTAATCTTAGCCGTCCCCTCGTCCTTCTGCCGGTCGGTTTCGCAAGAAACAGTTGCTTAGCCTTCCTTTCTAGAGGTATTCGCAACACATGCCCAAACCATCGCAGCTGTGACTTCCCAGTCTGGAGAAGCAAAGGCTGTTTACTAAGGTTCTTCCCCATGCCAGTATTCCGGACCATGTCGAGATGCGACAAAGACCAGCGACTCGTCGAATAAAGCCCATTTCAGCACTTTGTACCCGGGTTCGAAGTTTTCCAGTCATGGTTCACGACTCATGGCCGTATATAGGTATGGAGATAAAGATCGACTTGAACACCGAGAGCGTAGTTTTCAGACTGAGCTCTGCTTTGGTCACAGTGCATCGGGCGAGTTTACGCAGAACACCACTGGCTACTCCAATTTTCCGGCCGGCCGATCTCTTCCTCCAACTTTCCATCGCTAGTAAATACAGTTCCGAGGTACTTGAACTGCTCCACTGCCTCACCGTTAATCTGAAGAGAGCAACGTGCAGAAGAACGAGAAAGAAATTGGCTTTTCTTTTTAGATACGTTTGCACGCATGCCGGTCACGTCGCACTCTGCTGCGAACCTTTCTAAGGAGCACTGAAGATTCATTTCATAGGGTGCAAAAGCAGCGTCGTCTGCAAACAGCAACCTTCTCGTCTTCACATCTCCTACACTGATGCACTCATTGCTTTGGCAGTTCCTGGCAGTTCTCTCCATGTACAACACAAACAGGATAGGGGACAGGACGCAGCCTTGGCGGAGACCAGTCCGAACGTTGAATCGTTTCGACTTAACATCATTTACTCAGACGCAACACCTGCTATCAGAATACAGTGATTGAATCGCACGTAACAGCTGACCATCTTGCAGACATGGCCGCAGGCTGTGGCGTGGGATCCGGTAATAGGCT